GGCTGCAGTGTTCAGATGTACAGGAGCTAGCAGGAAAGGAGGTGAAGTCTGTGTTGTCTGGGCTTTCATTTCATTATTCGCCATTTTCAATCAGCTCTGTTACTGTGGGAGATGAGCCTTTCATTCGTGGAGGACAGGCTTTCAACTATGAGCCCACGGGGACCGTGCCTGCTGGTGGGACCAACACAGGGACAGGAGACAACAGTGGAAAAAAACAAGTGTGAGAGAACAAACATGATGATCACTTGGGTACTGGCACAAAGATATCATGCATGGTTGTGTTGGTTTCATGGAGTACAGAAATAACTACACATTTGAAGGCATCCTCACCTAGAGATCCTTTTGGACATGGGCGATCCACTGTTTCTCCCCTCTGAGTGGTGGGCCATTGGACACCCCGGACCATCTTAGCTTCACACACGTGTGGCTCTGGGCCTATAGGAGGGAGGGGTGGTCGACGGGTGACAGGCACGGTGGCTGTGATTGGTCGCAGGTCTGGATGCTTGTTGATGGAGCCTATCGGACGTGACGTGGGGGCCAGAGGTCGTGCGGTGGAAGGACTGGCACTGGAGGTAAAGGGCCTAGCTGGCTGAGTAGTGGTCACTTGTGTGGTGGTCAGTGGTCCTGAATTCATCCAGGAGTAGCAGAGAGAAAACAGGAGCGAATGAATTAGACACATTGAGCTACTGAAGTTTGTAGACCTAGCATTTATGTTAGCGTCCTGCGGGATGCCTGCTGCCTGCCAACGTCACATGTCCCTCAACCTTAATAAGTTATACCGAAAACACATGTTCAACACAATGATAACACTTTAACAAGCAAATTACCCACAATTGTGACCTGTCTCACTCTGCATTTAGTTAGCTAACTCAGGTTAGCTTCAGTAACTAAACAAAGGTGAATTCACCTACACCTTAATCCATTACAGTTTCTGTTGAAGCAAATGTAACACAATTCACAGTAGGCGTCATGTGGGTGTAGTACTGCCCTGCACTTTAAACCTGCAAGGTTAATTCACAGGTTTGACAGGTTAAGATAATCAAAAACTCATTGCAATAACTTTTATTAAAAATAAGATAAACACTACAGAAAAAGCATTAAATGCAAAAAATAAAATAAAAGTTGTTTTGTGAAGTGGAACCAGAGAATGAACCAAAGAGGAGGATCTAAAATGGAAGACTGATTAATTATAAGAACATTTGAACAGGTACTTTTTTACTTTTGGATTTGAAAAGGGACAATGAGTCAAACTTGCGGAGGTCTGGTGGCAGAGAGTTCCAGAGGCAGGGGGAGCAGAGTTACTGAGGTCCCTGCCCCCCATGGTGACCAGGCCCATGGAGGGGACAGCAATGTGAAAAGATGAAGAGCATGGATGGGCCAAGATGTTAAAAGAAGAATTTTTACTGCATATGGTAAATTATGAAGAGTTGTTGGAGGATAGGAGTAATGTGTGTGTGTGTGTGGGGGGGAGGTGGGGGGGGGGGGGGGGGATTTGGCGGGAACCAGTTGGAGTTTATAGAGAGATTCGTGAGGTAATCCAAATAGAAGTGAGTTGCAATACCGAGTGCAGAAGGTGACCAGACTGTGGACTAGGAGGAGGCACCGAGGAGAGTATAATGGGAAATGTTGCTCTGTGCCTAGCAGCAGAAATTAGGTACGAACAGACAAAATTGCAATAATATGAGTGTGACTTTTTAAAATAAAGTTTTTAAAGTAAATTTAATTTTTTAAAGCTAAAGCCGTGTGGTCTTCTATTGTCCAGCCTGGATCCCCATCACACTCCCTTGAGTTCCCTAAATTAGTCAATTTTAAGGATGTAAGAGATTTGCTGGAGTAGCTGCAAATCCTCAAGCTCCAGAGAAGATGAAGAGAGTAAAGGACACATGAATGTGAATGTAAGATCACCCTTAGAAGTGGAATTCAAAAGTTAGGTCTACAATAATTGGGGTGACAAATACGTTTCTGATCTGTTCAAAGGCTGGTCTCCGGAGTGAGGAGGAGAAGCGGGGGAGGAGATGGAAAGAAAGCATCACCACAAGTCTGCGAGGAGTAAATAATTGATCAAATGTATCAGTGAAGTCACCATCACTAACAACCAAACCTAATGCAAAGATAAAAGCAAGACATCACAACTACAATATCCTAACTGATCAAACGCAAAGTCAGCGCAGATCTCAGAGTGCTCCCGCCCGTCTGTCTCTGCCTTGTCTCTCTCTGGGCATAATCTGAGCTTCATACAGGCCTTTATGCAGCTCAGATATACAGTACATCCAAACCTCCCTCTCATATTGATGGACTGCCAAAATGCAATGTGCTGTTCCCGTTTCATCCTCTCTCTTATCATTTCAGAAAGACTTTTTCATTATCCATGACACGGAGAAGTTGATATGAAGTGCTACAGCAGTCAAACCTGAGAGGCTGATCTTTACTGTAACTACGGCTAAGGACAGAAATACAATGATTTGGCATCTGAGACATCCAACGGCCAGATAGGAAAGAGGCACAAACACATTCTGCACGGATGGTTTCACGTATTTCCTGGTCAAGCAGAGAGCATCATCGTGTCACGCAGCAGAGTGAGAACTGCTGCGTGACACTGAAAACGATGGTTTTAGCAAATCAATCCACTGTTTTCAAAACTCTCTTATTTCCTATTTCCAGAAAATTTCCAGAGAGCCTAAAATAAACAAGTTAATTATTTAATTAAGGAAAAAGGTGACTTAACGTCAGTGTGGGATTTTTAGTAAATATCTGCAAAGACATACAGTAGCTAATAGTGAGTCAAAAGAAAGTTAAAATCTACCAATACACACACTAACAGAAACTCTTCCACTGGTCTGTTTATTAAGGAACGGGAAACAAAGATTTAAGCTTACTGCTTGGAATGAAATATTATACAGTACCTATTTTTCAGTACGGATTTTTTGGGTATTGAACATTGAGCATTGATAGCGCCCTCAAATGAAATGACAGAACATACATGATAATTGAATTTATGCCTGCTTTCTCTATGACCACTTCTTACCTGCGGTGGGGTCCGGCGGTCCAAACTCCAGAGGATAGCGCAGCACATTATAGTTGTTCCAGACGTAGAGCTGGTTGTCTCGGGGGTTGTAGTCCACAGAAGAAATGTACTGATAGGGGTTTGGAAAAGGGATGTTGACAGGTTCCTCACGGGCGTGGTTTGTATTGTAGGCATACATCACCAGGTCACCACCTGCTTCACTGTCATCATCTTGATACACTGACCGTACTGCGTAAAGCACCCCGCAAGCCATGAAGGCGTTGGACGCCATCCTCTTGTCAAAGCTGGTTTCCCATGTGCCTTCAAAGCGCAGGGTGTAGGGGTTTACCTGTGGGCAAAGAACAGGGACTTGAGTCAGCTGACTCTTAATGCATAAACAAAGACAAAAGGACGCCTAAAGGGAGGTTTCAATAAATGTATGGTAATGATTAAAAAACAAAAAAATTAATCAACATATGAGTCGTTCTGCATTTTAATAGCATAGCAAAGGAAGAATCTAATCTGCTCATGTCTCCTGCGCACTGCACAATTTCAGCAATCTTATTAAATCACAACAACTCACACAAGTATAACGTGAATGTAATGAATGTGGCCAAGACAATGTTTGTTACTGTATGCATTTAGACTGCACAATGCTGATGCCTAGTAAATCATTCTGTGACTATAACCATAGACTATGTAAGATTGTAGCGACTGGACACCATTGTAAAGTGAAGCCTCGATGAAAGCAGGGGTTTGTATTGTTCAATATAATATTAAAGATTTGAAAATAAAAACAAAACTCAATTAGGTAAAAGAAAATAAGTTTTGGTTGTAATGTCATTGCACACAAAGTGAAATATTTCTGTTAATAATTACGACAAGTATAAATCAGGGGCGTTTTTCCGTGCGATTCTTGCTTCATTCGGTTTACAGACACTCGTTGTACTAGCTTTCACGTTTGAATTGTGACCAGTTGTTGGTCATTCGTTTCCGTCCTAAACCTTGCCGCTGATATTTTAGTGCTTTTTGTGAAACATACCTCCGCACTCGGACCGCATACATTGTAGAAGATAACTGCTAACGAGTGCAACAAATTTCAAACTTTTCCTCTTTCGCAGCTGTGGCTACTTCCGGACTCATCAGCGCACTCTCGCAATGTGCTTCGCTCTGATTGGATCGCTTCCCCTTTCGTCCCGCCCTAACATATTTTTCCTTTTTTGATTCGTTTATCAAAGTGTTCGTTATTTTACGTCATAGTTTACTCATTAATTTCTATTTTTTACTTTTTATCTTTATCCGTGAAAAACAGTAATAAAACAAGTGGAGCCCTTCTGTCTCTCTAATGAACTATAAGACAAAGTGGACACTCTGACTTAGTCATTGTTATTTATTAATATTGAATACATTTACTATAGGCTATAATCTAAATTTAATAATGCTTGTTTTGGAAATTGTGTAGTAAAATATCCTTCAGACTAATCCTTGAGATTACATGATGATTGTCAGTTTATTATTTAAACTTAGATTTATATCAATGTAAAGATTTATACAGTGTGTACCTAATGGTGACTTAAAAAAAAATCACGTCACATCAAGTTATGTCAATGTAGCAGCTCCGTGAACGACAGAAAAGATAGATGTTAAGATTCAAACAACTGCAGTAGCAGCAGCAACAACAAAAAAAACGTCATTGTTTGATTATGGAAGAAGTAATTTCTCAGCAAAGCGTTTCATATCCTGCTCATGTTTACATGAGCTCACAGCAGCAAGATTTATACGCGCTTGTAAAAACATTTAAAAAGTAATTAAACCATGGGCCTCGCAATTTCACAAAATTGCCTCCGTTCAATATGTATGAAAACTGTGTTAAAGGTACAACGGAGCTCCACATGTTTGAGTTGGCAGCAAAAAAAAAAAAAAACTCCAGAGGAAGTAAACAATTTCTTAGTAATGAAAGTGTTTATTACATTGTCGCCTGATTATGCTGCAGACTCATATCTTGTATCAGGTTTGATATTTCACCCAGAAAGCTTGAAATTATTTCTTGCTCTTAAGGTCAAACAGTGATTATAAATCTGGTTTTATCTCCTGCAGAAGGCATTTCTTCAAACTTCTTCACAAACCATTGTTCAAGACATTGGTTCAGTTATTACGAATGCAATTAGAGCTCATATTATTAAATAACTAATATAAACATATTACAAATTGTATGTAAAGAAATAATCTGGGTGGTTTATGATTATAATTAGGGTTATTCGAGGCAGGTTTAGATTAGGTATTAATGTAGCATCCACCAGAGGTTCAGTCTTTTTTAAGCTAAGGTAGGTCTTTGATTTCAAATTGTTTGTTGATATAAATATATAGCAAAGTAAGAAAAGATGTGTCAAAACATAATGATAAAAAGGTGTGAATATAGTTTGGTAATCAGGAATAATGACTATGTGAAAAAAAATTAATGCTAAATATGTATATGACCTTTCAGTCATTCAGTATTGCCTTGCATATGCATGCTCTTCAGGTTAAAATAGCACCTAACTACTCAAGGAAAAAAAAATCTGCACAATCAACCCCTACATACAGCAAAATTGTGTATTATGCAAATAGATAGCAGTGCATTTATTATTATTTTTATCATCAGTCAAATCAGGGAACACCCTAAACAGTTCACCAGTCCATTGCAAAATAACACAAACAATGATTCAAACTCACTCATTTGTATCTGTGGCTATTGTAAAAGTGAACAATTAACCCAATCTGCAGGTCTTTGTACTGCAGCCGTCCAGGTCTAAAACAAATGGTAATCAAATATATGATGTTGGTTCCTTGATTGGCCCTCACCCATCCATCTAATCATTGCAGCTCATAATATATAAAAGATTAGTTTCTGAATACCATGCTATTTAAATTAGCTCTAACATTTACAGGGTATTTTAATGCATCACCTTTTTTTCTGGCCAACAATATCGCTGTCATATCTCTGTATGTCATTTTTTAGAGCACTGATCTTACCTGAACACTAAGTCATTCATGTGTGACAGATGACCTTTTGCCTGACTAATAAAATGAGCTTCTGAAATAATCCACTCCTGCATTTATAATCCCTGTTTCATCCCCTTCTGTTCAGATCTGCTCACCCACCTGGCTGACCACCAGTCGTCCGTTGTTGGACTCGGTAGCGTAGATCACCCAGAGGCCATTTTCATCCACAGCTAAGTCGATGTCTGACTTCCCTCCCCAGCGGTACGGAGAGGTGTCGTGGTAGTTGGCATTTGTGATAATGGCCTCACCACTCTTGATGCGTGTTCGCAGGTCATATTTCACTATGTTCCGTGTGCGTTCCTTGTTGTAAAATACTGCTCCATCGTACACCACAAACCCTGTGCCGTCCACTCTGTTGGGTAACCTATTGACAGAGGATAACATAAGCGGCGCAGACACCCAAGAGAACATGTCGATTCATCTCCTCTGAGTGACATGATCCCACAAGAAGACTTCACGGTGAGCAAGCTGACACCACGGTGGAAACATTCTGTTATCCACATCCATATTCACATCAACAGCCAATAAATCAATACAGAAACAGATGCTATTTCATCATCCAGGACAGTGGGAGGCGCCCTTACTTGTAGGTGGTGGTGGCTCGGTTCTCTCTGAAGTCTTCCCAGGAGGCATACTCGTACAGCATGTCAGTGCGATAGGGGGTCCAGGGCATGACGTACAGACGGTCTCCAGACTGCAGCGGATCTTTACACCACGCCCCTGCCTGGTGCTCTGCCTCCTGCAGAGAGGAGGCCGGCTGCACCCGCAGCAGTGTCCCCGGGCAAACAAAGACTGCAGCAGAGGAGGTGTGTTGAAGTGAAGATGAGGAGGAGAAGAAGGGGAGAAGGTAGATACAGAAAATGAAAACAAAGCATTGAATAAATTAAACATATCGTGGTGATGGTAGGGCATGGGAAAATAAATAGAAAAAGGCCAAAGGCCATGGATTACAAAACAGGAGAGGAACATGGAGGGGACAGAAAGAAGATGTAGATAGATAAGTTAGTTGGAATTGAAAAGGAAACACAGAGTAGAAAAAGAATGGGGAGAGCGAGGACAGGAGGTTTATTATCAGATTTACATTGAAGGAACGTATAAAAGCTCATCGGTGAAACATCAGATTTGTGGTTAGAAAATGTCTGAATATGATAAATGGGAGATTTCTGGCTGCCGCCACGGCTTAAATGTAGTCTCTCTAATCTAATTAGTCTTGGCCTACTTTTTTATTTGATTGTGCAATTTCTTTTATATCAAAGACTGCTACTTCTTCGCTACGCTGCCGGGTGGTAAAAAGCGTAATTGTGCGGCTTGTTTTATTAGGACACAAATTTGGCTCTCAGTAAAGAGCAGTTCCTTGAAGAAGAGTGGGAAAAAATCTGGGGTAAAGATGTGAGGTTGGCCAGATTTTTGTTAAACACCCACAGACAAACAACACACAGACAAAATCAAAGGACTCCAAACAAACAGTTGTACAACCCTGGCTTCCAGAAATGTTGGTATACTTTAAAAAAAAATCAATTTGAAACTAAATAAATGTCAAATAGTCATGCATTCCGGAAACTGGGTTTATAGTGGAAAACAAAAAGGGACAAGAGGTCTGACATTGTGACAAAATACACAAACACACACACTGGATATCTACATTAGGCAGGTTGAGGTCATCAGCTGGGGACTAGTGTAAATTGGCTGTTTGAGGCAGTGTGTTGTTGCCTGACAGAGAAAAAGAGAGAGGAAAACAGAGAGAGAGAGAGAGAGAGAGAGAAACACAGAGAGAGTGTGTGTGCGTGTCCTGGGACTACTGGGCATATTAGCTGATCTATAAAAAAAAAAGCTAATGGCACACTCGCTCCTCTGACATCACAGAGGAACTGGCAGGAGAAAACCAAAAAGGGGAGGACGGGGGTCGGTTGGAGGCACTACATACAAAAATGGGAGGAGTTCCCATGTCTTCTCTGCCAGGTTATTTATGTGGCTGTGCGGCGTGGGGCCATGACAGGACCAGACACCTGCTGGTCACCTCACGACTGAACGCATCTCTGAACTAATTGGACTCTGCAGGGGTGTTTGGGCACAGATGACACAGAGCACACAGGGATTCACAGACAGACACATCCATACCATACTTGGAGATGACATGACACACATGCATACTCAGGTCGACATGCATATGCTGTCACGCTGTGACTGTTAGAGTGATGGAACTGTCGCAGCACAAACTGTCTTGAATATTGCATGGGGTCTGGTATACAGTGCAGGAGGTGAATAATAATAGTAGAGATGGAGTTACTTCAGGACTTCAGGAACAAAAAAAAAATAATCCAGCTTTCTCATCGCTTTATGTCACGCTGTTGTCGCCAACACTGGGCCACTTGGAAATTAGCCCGTTCTTTCAGAGGGTGTCCAGCGGGGAACGAGACTGACAGCCAAATAAGAATCTAATCATGCTCAGCCACAAACAAACACTCTGGATACAGACTCTTCACAAAGAGGAGGAGGCTTGTCAGGCTCTATTGTTGAGACCAAAATGCTAACTGGAAGGCGAGGACGCCTGAGGTGTCTGCTTTGCAAATAAACGTGGGTGAAAAAAAAAATTGCGCAGGAACAAAAATGTTGAGAGCAGTGGTTAAACTTGGCACTTCTAGACAGCCAAACAATGAATTTGTGGGCTTACATCTCACTCACTTTCCATCATACTACAATCAAACAACGTCCTTATCAAAGCAGATACAACTCAAGTACACTGCAGTCACTGACGTATTTCTATTAAAGTCTGGAATGGGCAGTTATTTATTTATTTATTTTTTATCTGAGGAAGCAATGAAAAGGAAAATAAAGTAGGACACTACCTCTAAAGTGCAGTGCTACTGTAAATAGGAAAATAAACAGCATGTCGAAAGCAGTACAGTGTTTCTGCATGTAGGTGACCCATAAAAAGGCAGGAACACTCTGCCTCAAGGTAAAATAAAGGACAAAAACAGACACGCACGACTGCTCTCTGCTGTAGGACGACCTACGGGAAATGTACAGAATAGTTACTCATTTTATCTAAAATGTGTGTGTGTGTGTGTGTGTTTAGAAGGATGGGATGTGTGTATGGGGGGAGCAGGAGGTGGAACAGCACGTTTATATGTGTGCTAGCATCAAACACAGTCATTGGTGTGGAGTTTTATGATATAGTCAAACAGAAAACACAAAGTGTTTCAAAAATCACTCTTAATGGATAAAATAATATCCCCATCTGTTTTACAAAGTATATGTACATATATATTCTGTAAATATATTACAGCCCCCCTAAAATTCAATCAAGTCCAGCAACTCACAAAATAACTGAGTTGTTCAGTCCTGACCCAATTTTGTCGAAGTACTTTGAAGCACTTTTCCCAAAATAGTTTAAGTGATAATACACAATTTACAGTGGCACTAGATAGGAAATGTGTGAAATGTTCTCTCCCTTTGGCTAACTCTCCAGCTGATGGAGTTTCATTAAGTTATGTTTTCTGTAGAGAGCACGTTAAGATAAGAGGCTGGTTTTATTGAATCCAGACTGTGCAGCGTGTCCTGCTGTTGATTTGAACAAAACTAGTTTTAAAATCCCCCAAAACCAAATAGATTTTTGGAAAGAAGCGTCAAAATGAAGACCTAAAAGTAAACTGGACACTATCTGCTGGATGCTATGATGACCTAGGTCTAACATAGCTATCTTGGGTTGTAGCCAATGAACACTGATGAACTTTGTGTGTGAGGAACTTTGTAGAAAACATATTCAAGTGATAGAAACGGACATTTACTTTTACTACATATTCCTGACCTGGAGTGAAACTCTAATCAAGCAAATTACAGGATTTTCCAGACAAGAGCACAGGGTTAAAATGTTGTTATTGGGCTAAAAGAAGTTGGTATGTAGGCCAAACGTCTATTACTTACTGTATCTATTAAAGCTCAAGAGCAATTGTTCCTGCAGTATAGTTTAGTGTGGCTAAATCTCATCCCCTATACAGTGTCCCTTCAAAAATACTTTGTGATTCTCCTCATTATTGCACCTAACCTTGCAGTCCTGTCCTCAATTGGTTGCGGTCTGCACACAATTGGCCTCATCATCACAAAAACACTGCAGAGCAGCACAAACTAACAATCTGCCTTCCTTCTCCAGGTTCCTCTGTGCCCTTTCTCTCCCACGTGAACCCTGCCCACTGTCCATCAGCAAGACTTGGTTTTATTCTAATGAACTAGAAGTTGGGTGGGCCTTTTGTCAGAGGGCTCATCTAGGGCCTTTAGGCTGCACACATGAGCTGTGAAGGGACACACACACACACACACACACAAACAAACACACACAAACAAGAGCCAAACAGAAACAGTGGCCATGCTTCACACCCCACCAACCCTGCCTAGGGGGCTTCATTAAGTCTGACCTGCGCTCCCCAGCTCTCCCGACTGCCTTCCTGTTTACCAGCTCTTTCTGTCTTTCCTTCGCTCCATCTCCCCCTGTCTCTGCCTTTAACTGTGACGAGTGATTGCAGCAGGGGGAAGTCAGAGGAGCCAAAGCCTAGCAGTAAACTCTGTAGTGGGGGAGGCTTATATGACCACAACAACAATGAGGCCTTAGCATTACATACTAAGAATTAGCCGTAAGTCTGAAGATCATTAGCGTAATTCTATGCTGGCAAAAAGCTTAAACCGTCTGGGATTATATGAGATAGTTAGATTAACAGATTAATTCCAATTTGTTGCAGATACAAATTGTACTCAAGATCATCCAAGAGCCCTCACTAAGCAGCAAAAACTTTTTTTAAATAATAAACTAGCCTGATGGCTAATGAAACTTACCTTATCAAGGATTAAAACCCATGCAGGAGCTATCATACTAAAGCACAGCAATTACTGCCACATAGTATAGAAGAAAATAGTGCTCCAGTAATTGGCTATTTATCTCCATAAACTCCTTCTCCAGGTATAGGTCAGCTGCTCGTTGTCAATACGAGACTGCAGTATAAAATGATGAAAGTGCCCGAAGTTTTCCAGAAATGACAGTAAATCTCGCTCCTAAGAGCATGGTGGCAATTTGTGATCGACTGGTAACGCAATTAAAAGTGAGCAGTGACAGCTCCAGGCTAAATTTAGAGTTTTCATTTTATTTGTCCTATATAAACCATGGTTTTCTCATGTTTGATGTGACAGCATCATGGTGATGGATAATGTATGATCTAAACACATCCTGTCAAATGTTGTCAAACTGTTTCTGAAGTAAGTCCTTGGTGCTCTTCTGTATTTTTTCTTTTTCTTTGCTTCATATTTAGTTCTTTTGGATATCTGCTGGCTCAAGCTTTTGCTCAGTCCATAGTCATGGCCTGAACACAGGGCAGACTGCTGAGCACATGCTGCTCTAATTGAATCCCACACCTGTTACTGGCAGGTGCAGGTTGTGGGCAGCAGGGGGCAGAAATGAGCATAGCGTGGTACCGCACCTCCCATGCTGGACAGTTGAAGTGAACTGCTGATGTGTATAACATCAGAAGTCCATTTAGTGGCGTATGCGTGTGTGTCTGTGCGGTGTACGACTCTGTGGCATGCTTGTGTGCAGTTCACGGAGACAGAGACAGGTGAGGGTCAGAAGGCGTGAAGAAGAAGGAGCGCGTGTCCTGTGTGTGCAAACTAGACAAGAGAGGGGAGTAGAGTTAGACAGAGTAAATAGGTTATTTCCTGTGAAATGAGAATTAAGAGTGAGTTAATCGGCTGAGGAGTGATTGATAGCGACAGGAAAACAGAGGAAGTAGTAAGGAGGCAGAAGGGAGGGGCGCTCCCCTTGTGATTCCACTTCCTTTTAGATTACAAAAAAAGTCATGGGGATAAAAGAGCACAATATCACACAATACAAACAGCTGACGTTTACACACAGACGTACGCACAAACTCTCAGACACCGGACACAGGGACAAGCTCCAGACAGAGGAAGAGGCAGGTGTCAACCCAGCACCTTTGTCAACCTTACCATTTACCCCAGAGAATACCCTTCACTGAGACCCAAGCCTGGCAACGGTGAGAGATATCATGTGCTGAAAGCAAAGTCTTATCTGTTTTAGAGTGACGCTGACACTGGAAAAGTTGACAGGAAACTTGGTGAGGACATGGCTGCATCGGCCACCTGCTGTAGATACAGCTGATGGCACAGTGTCAGGGTCACGCCCAATCACTGAAGTCACTGAAGATAGACAAATCCACAAGTGAAGCTACAGACTTTTGATGCTTAGCAGCATGTGTGGCAGCAGCATCGTGTTAGTAGAAACTAATGAAAAAAAGAAAGAAAAGGAAATGGGAGTAGTAAACTTTTGAAGTAATTCAGAAAATTAAAGGTTTATTATCTTTGTCAGTAGTTCCCAGTCTTTTAGTAAAGAACTTTATATAAGAACTTTTATAAGAAGATATTTGAATTACTATTTAGCAGACAATAATGTATGGTGGATGACAGTGTATGGATGACATTGTGTGTCAATGACAATGACAATGACTTCTGATCTAGACTTTAATTTTAAGAACATAAACTCAACTTACGTCAGACCTACAGTCATACCGTACAGCAGTGTTTAATTGAGGAATATCTTGCATGTACATTTTTTCCTGATCAAATGTATATATATTTTCTATGATGCCTTAATAGAATTAATGCATAATCAAAGGCCTTTTCAAACCTGCTGCTAAAATATACACATAATAGTTGTTGTTCTGAGACTGAGGATTCAGGTAGCACTGTCCAACACAGGCACAAGATGAGTAATAATCTGGTTTAGTTGTTATCCCAGCTGCATCCCCGTGTCTCTCTATTCCCCTCTGTTCTAAATTAGGACTCCCTTAGGTGCTGTGTCTCCATTAGGGTCAGGAATTAGTGAAGGCTTGGGGCAGAATGACCTTCAAATACATTAATTTGTCCTTGAATCTCATAATCCCCTTAGAGTACTTAGTAGTTATATTTTGCCTAACCAGTGGGGAAAATATCTTCTACGGTACATTATCTCTTTGTCCTACAGGCTCATATCAGTATTTGCCTGTTGCCTCCTATCAAAGGTTGTGTAAAATTAAATGACACTGGACATAGCTAAGAGCAACCTAAGATTTCGGACAAAATGCAAGAAAGTTTATGAATTTGAATTAGCTAGGAATAATAGCTGTTCAATAAGTACAAATGACTTGAACCAAATCCCATGTATGTGAAAAGTTAGTCTTAACCAGGGCTGGGCCAACTTTGTGGCTCACGTGCCAAAATGAGATTCACAATTTGACTGGTGGGCCGGTTCAGTATTGGTTGGATGTAGAATACTGGGTGAAATAATTTAATTAAACTATATGGAAATATAAAGGTTAAACCTAAAGATTTCAAAGATAACTTGACACATTATGTCTGCTGCCATTTGGTGGCATCAACACAAATTACAGTTGTATTATTGTAATGCACGAAACAGAAAGATTAACATTGGTCATTACCAAACCTAGTAACAGTGTTTAGTGGTCTGCATTAGAAAGCCCAGCAGGCTGTATCTGCCCCACGGGCCATAGTTTGCTCAGGTGTGGTCTAAACCAAATTCATTCAGCGTTCTGTTTTTTGGCCCTCACCGACAGCTCCCTTCACTCACTCTCTCCTTCAGCCCGGGCTGTAACAATAAAATGACTCCTGCATGTACAGTCATTGCCTCCACTTTATCTTTCTGTTTTTGCCGAATTAGGTGTCTGCACTGCCTGGGTCACATGACTGTGCTTGTGTGTGGTGGATCATTCCTAATGAGGTTCAGCTGCCTGACTCATCGTCTCTATAGCGACCGCCTCTCCATGTCTTTCACAAATTGCGGCCATTCTTTGGATTTTCTTGTCACATGGTGCGGTGATTGTCGCTCATTTCCCTCAACCTACATGAATCACAGGTTAAGAGCAGTTTGTGTGAGTAATGTCACATCACTGCACCATTTCCTGCTTCTACGGAATAGAATGGTCCTCAAAAGTCCAATACTGCTTTCCTCTCCTTCTATTTTAAATGAAGGTGAGGAAAAATATGGTGGGAATTTGTTTGGCCCAGTCAGCAGTTAGAAAGCTGCTATAATGATGTATGGAGTGCACTCTGTTGGACTGTCAGTGAAAAAGGCCGAGAAAAGAAAGTGGAATGGAAAGTAGAGATGGCTGACGCCGGCATAGTCCTAAAATAGCCCGACAGTAGGTCGACTGACAGTGTACGACACTCATTGAACAGGATCTCCCCACTGTGACATCATCACCTCTAGTTTCACGTCACTCTAATCCGTGCATCAGCCAAACAATTGATGATATGAAAATATTAAATGGACTTGAACTGATGTTGAGGCCTAATGTAAATTCACCTTCAACACCATAACAAACACTAATTGATCTTCACATGTGTCCTTTGAGTAAACAGACACAGTGACCAATGAATGAGCGGTCATTCCATGTTAACTCTGGCTATTTAACCTCTGACCCTATTAGCTCCAATCAACTGTTTCTTACAGCTTGTGGCCAGACAGTGTCCTTCACCATATTTAAATTTATTGTATTTCTCATATTCACTGGAACAAGATTATGAGTTTAATTCAGTTTTCAAATGTGTTATATATAAGTTGTCTCTTTTCTTTAGCAAGCTTACACTGTTTATGCAACAATTAAATACAGATTTATATGAGACATTTGAGATTATCATATATCTACACATATTAACGTATATCCTATACAAATTTGATTTTGTGATTATGTTTTATGGGTTTTTTTATAAATTCAACAGAAAAAGTACTTGTTCTCAGTGGGTACTTTTTTTAAATTCTAGGTTTTTTTTTTAAATAGAACAAAAACCACAGCGGATTAGGAAAGTGAAATGTTATAACATTTTGTCAGATTTTGTCCCATTCAAAGGTCAACTGTTTTCAGTTCAAGTGCTGAATGACTAGTCAAAGTATTGATGCATCCCTGGTGGTCTTTAGAAAAATTTGATTAGTTACATTTTTGAACAGCTCTCGACTAACTAATGACTCGAGGGATAAACCCGTGAACACCACACAGGACCAGGAGCTCCATTAACAACTCAATGGCGACTTCCAAAAGAGTTAATTCCTCCAACATGTGGAAGCAGCCATGGTGCCAGACTGGGCAATGGCCAAGGTTGAGAGAGATGTGAGTAGAGGAGGTCAGAGTGAGTTGGGGTGGGGGGGGGGCCTCAGAGAGGGGGAGGGTTGAGGCTCATTGGGATGCCGGTGCTAATGGCTACTACTCTGAGCCTGACCTTGTACATAGGTCAGGTCTGTATGTGCTCTTTAGGATGCAAGTGATTGAGGTGCCTGGTCATACTGATTGGTGCTCTTTAGTGCTGGTGATGCAGCCACGCTGCATCAGAGAGGCCATTACCAGAAGCTGTAGCACGTCCTCCCCCTCCAAGGCCTCGCTGAACACAGAAAGGACCGGTGGTGGGGGGTTGACTGATGTGCATGGGTGTAAGAGGGGCACAGGTTCACAGTGCATGAGCAGTAAAGAAAGTGGAGAGGTAGTGGTAGAGAGTGAGAGAGAGGCAGGGTAGAAGGGAGAAGGCTGAGGAAAAAGAGAAGTGTAAAAGATGCTCAAAAGAGCCTGCGGCTGCTTGTGATGGCCTGGTGTGATCTGGGAGATAAACCAATCAGAAAAAGCGATAGACCACAAGAAAGGGGGAGGAATGAGAAACAAAACAGAGAGAAAAGGAGCAGAGATAGATAAGAGGAGTGAGAGGAGACAGGAGTTAAATGGACGAGTGAATAATTGGAGGAGAGACAGAATGAGAGGAGGACACTGAAGCGCCTGGAAATGGGATGTGTAACCGTGCCAGTTACTTTCTTTTTACAGAATGGTGGGACTTAAGGATTGCAGCAACACTGAGCTCTGAATCAGTCCTGAGAAAGTAAAACAGGGGGAAGAGATAGAATTTGGACAAAACCTAACAGCTGATTAAAGGAGAGGGACAAATAAATTAGAATATTCAAATGGGTGAAAGAAGAGAGACAAATGTGTTGGTAAATGTAACTGTTAAGTGTGTGTGATGCTGTGAAGATGCAACAAAAAAAATTCTGCAATGAGACGATGTGAATGAATGGCTTCGGAGATGTTTAACTTCACACAGGAAAGGAATGGCATTATTTTCTCGTTTATCTCTCTCAGATATTGTTTGTGTGTGTGGGTGCGGAGCATGTGTGTGTGTGTGTGTGTGCGGAGCATGTGTGTGTGTGTGGGTGCGGAGCATGTGTGTGTGTGTGGGTGCGGAGCATGTGTGTGTGTGTGTGTTTGTGCAGGTCAGGCTGGTGGCATCATAACCAAGGATGAAATCTAGAGGGATTTTAGAGTTTTGGTTATAAGTCAAAGATAGACAGAAAGACAAAGGCAGAGGAGGCGATTAGAGATTGAGGAAGAAAAGGGAGGGATATCAACATCAAACATGACCACTACACAAGGTGCTGGGTTAGGAAGGATATGGGGCAGGAATGGAGACAAGGGAGGAGGAGGAGGGAGGAGGAAGGGGCGAGCTGTGGTTGTTATGTTCATCGTGGTCTTTACCTTTTTGATCCACTTCTATTCAAGCATCGGAAAAAAGGAGAAAGAAAAGAGATAGAAAGATGAAAAGGAAAGACAAGAAGTAAGAAAAAAAACAACAGGAGTAGAGAGAGAGAGAGAGAGAGAGAGAGGGAAGGAGAGAAGGAAAAGGAAATAAAAGAAAAACAGGTGCAGGAAAAAAGAGAAAATTGAGATTAAATAAAATGCTGTCCTTTCTCTCTCTCTGCTTTTTTTAAAGCAAGTTATCTGTCTGTGTTATGGTTGGCTACTCAGAGAAAGGATGGCTCAAATGGAAAATGAGGAGGGGAAATGGCCTGACCTGGGTTTAAATCCATTTCCATTTCATTTCAGTTTTTATCAATAATCCCCCAACAACACATTTTTTACCCCCAACCACACACTCTCAACCCCACCTCCACCCCTCTTGCCACAACCCTCCCTCTTTTCCTCACACATCCACTGTTCCAACGTGAGGGCCTGTGGAACCTGCTGGAAAAAAAAGAGAACGCAGACGTACATCCTGACGTTTGACGTCCTCTTCAGCTGTGGGAGGAAACAAAGAGAGAGAGGAAAGGTGGAGGAGTGGATGAAGATGTCTGGGATGGATCGTTGCCTTCCTTTCAGACTAACTCCAACTACAGTCTGTGTTGACCTGAGAGCACTGCCTTGATCTTGAGTAAAGCGGCGCTTTTGGCTTTGCTCAATTTACAGTGCCGAGATTCTCGCTATAGAAACCAGCAAAAACACTCAACCCATCGACCGTCCAATCAATGGGGAACTGCGGGGTTGCCTGACCAAAGCTGGCTCATCAAAGAAAAGAGAACAAACAACAGGGGGAAAGGAAGGGTTTGACAGAGTGGAACGCTTCAGAAACACACAGAGAAACCCAGAGACAGGGTCTGGGGTTTCTGGGGATGAAGGGTGGGGGGTGGGAGGGGTCAGTAGTTGTCTACAGTGGGCTCATCACACACAAGTCAATATGTTGGTGTGTTGAAATACACTAAAGCCCCAGCAGGTGAGGCATGGCTCCCCTGACGTCTGTGGTGCTGCTCGGTGCCTGCTTGTGTTGCTAGGTCGGGGGAGATCCATGAGCAGCGGGAGACTTGGGCGGGGTGAGAAAGGAAGGATCTCACCTCTGCCGTGCAAACTGTAGGCGTTGGCGCACACACATACGCCGTGAGCTCGCCGTGGCCCGGTGGTGTGTGAGTTGACTGTCACGTCTCGTGGGACAGGACGTGTCAGAAAGGCACTTGGCTGGTGGATCCCTGCCATGAGCATGATTGTTGTGTATGTGTTGTGGCGAGTCCCATGTCCCTCGGGGGGGCCTGTGAAATTGTCACAACACCTCGTTATGATGAACATAAAGAAGGACGACAGCGAGAGAGAAGAAAGAGTGAACGAGGGGAGAAGGAGAGAAAGGGAGAAACCACTATATTGAGATTTTTGGACCAAAATAAACCCTGTTACAGTTACATCACTTTCTAATGTGTTTTCTTTTTTTCATGCTTTCATTTTCATTTTCATTGTCAAAGGTTCACTGTTTAGGATCTGGGTGAGATTATTATACATTACTTTTTTATTGTCAGATGCAGGAGATAATAATATTTTACTGATGCTTTTTAAGTGTTCCCTCCATAGAAAGTGTAAATTGCTGCTTTCATTACCACAGTTTTTTATGGCAGCAGTGGGTCATTTCTAAAGAGGCTGCCGTCACCATGTATTTACATTAGCCAAGAAGGAAGCCAATCTACATTCCCTTTGTATAGGAACGAAACCTGAGAGTCAGCATGTGCTTCCAGTGAACCACATTTATCCATTTCACCACTAAAGGTTGCTTATTCTTATTTTGTGTATCTTTAGGATAGTTACTCCGTTGTTTCTTATGAGTTTATGAGCAGGATGTAAAGCATTAAAAAAATAATTATTATATAAATATATCTTTATATTTTAAAAAATAGATTAAATGTATGAAATGGTTTTTGGACTATAGTTGAATGAATACACTGGCTGCATATTTGAATTAATTTCAACCAGATTTGTACCTGTTTTTACTGTATCAGATTCATTAAAAAACATCTGTGTGTGATCTTTCTTTGGCGACTTGAAACTATGACATTGGCCAAATAAACATTTTTCCAAAGGTTATTGTTATTATTTTTAACTGTGGTTAGGCAGAATTTTATCTTTACCTCTTTGACTGTAGAGAATGAGGCTCGAGGGCAAAAGAGTGAAAGACACAGAGAGAAGAAAAGGAAAAGCGATTCACACTGGGTGAAACAAATTGAAGAATGAAGCGCTAACAGTTGTCGCCCAGTCAGTGTGGAGGATGTCCATGCATCTTAGCATTGAAGGCAGCATTAGTACCAACAGCCACTGATCATTTGTCATTTAGTGCCAAGATCAAAAAGAACAAACAACCTCCACCGAGACCTAAGGGATGGCAGCCATTTTCAGCCTAGAGGCGTAAACATGGCAACGCTATGAAAGCGAGCCCTGTGAAGCTGGGGCAGGGGGCAGAAAAGCATTACATCCCCACCACCAACTGCGAGTGCAATCATTAGCTCCAAGGTTAGCCGAGGGAGAGAGTGGCCAGAGAGCATCCATGGCTTTCATCCTCACTGGAACAACTGTGGGGGGGGGGGGGGAACAGCAGTATTCAGCAGAGCTGGGATACACTGACTTCTTCATAGAGGAAATCGTCTGACAGCTTGTGAGTCTGAAGTTCACTCTTCAAAGATGTCATGGTGTACGTAATGATATAAATGAGTACGTTTGCCTGCAAAGGAAGGAAGTAATGCTGATGAGCTGCTCATGGAGGGAAGAAGAGAGAGAGAGAGAGAAAGGGGGAGGGAGAGCAGTGGAAGAGGCAAACTTCTTCTTCAGTGCTGCAAGGAAAAAAACAGAAGAACAAAGGGGGCAGTAGACTTCTGTTGACTCCATTAAACATGAGGCTGGTTGTCCTGAAAAACAAACATGGGGCACAGGGACACACCAGATCACATGTACCTAGACACACACACACACACACACACACACAGAGAGAGAGAGAGAGAGAGAGAGAGAGAACAGAGAGAAAAAAAAGACAGAAACTCGTCAAACTGTCTGCACAGTGAAGCAGGAGGTGAGTTTAAGGCCACCTTGGCTGTTTGTCTGATTCATTCAGCATTTCTCTTTCAGGGCTCTTTTGAGAAATAAGCCACTGCCCTCTCTCCCCTTAATCACTGCTCTGCTCTTTCTACAACCCTATCAATTACTCCCACACTAATGAGTCGAGCACCCCCAACACACACCCGCTCAAACACCGTGGGACCACTGCAGGACAACTTAGCCACCCCTGTCTCCTCCAAAGTGTTGAAAAATAGCGTGTCCTCTCCATCTTCTCCTTTCTTTCTTTCTCTTTTGCTTTGCATTTTTCATGGTAGACTCATCCCTTTCTGTGGCCCCAGCGAAGCCTCTCACTCTTCATTCACCAAACATTTATGAGCACGATGTCTATTAGAGCCTCTATACATATTAATAGAATTTCACTTTCGGCTACATCAAAGTGTTTCCTCTCATTCCCTGAAAACGTGTCACATTATAATGCCATTTTATTTCTACTTCTAGTTTTTTTTTTTTTTTACAACTCAACTATCATTTCAAGCAGCGTTGTGTCCAAAAAGCAATGTTTTGTAATGAAAAGGCAACATTAACTATATTTTTGTGTTTAAATTAAGCTGTGACAGAAATATTCAAGCCACAGAAATATAAAGGGTGAAGCAGACAGAACGGAGCTAACCATGAAGATTTGCCACCCCTCTGTGCTGCACAGCCTGAGCAGGCACTTTTAAAACCAGTACCTGCACTGTGAATATTAACCAAATAAATCACAAATGATAAAATAGTGGAGGCAAAACACTAGGCTTAATGGTTCTGGCATGGCTCGCATGGATAGCCCCAGTGAGGAGCATTAGGGATCAATAATGATGTAGCACAGTGCCCTGGTGGAGCAGGGTGGACAGGTACGGCTGTATGTCTGTGTTAAAACTGCAGTGTAGGCCATCCGGTGCATGAAGTACACGCTGCAGCTGTGTGCAGGGACCTGTGATGTCTTAATGTGATCCAGCAGTCAACAACAGACAGTGACAGTGTGAAATGAGAGTTCAGTTGAGCCATTTTGTCTTGCTCTGTTCCGGCTGGCAAAAACAACGTTATGTGGAGGCCTCACAGGGCTTTTTGGCTCAACAAGATATGATTTGACTTGTTTGGCCGATGTTGTATTTTGCCCGAATGATCCCACATGCAGAGCCACACACACACACACACATACACACACGTAGTGTGAGTTGGAACTGTCAGCGTGTTGTTTCAGGTGACTGGTAACATGGTGTCTGTGTGACAGGTACAGAAAGGACCACCTCACCCAGATCAACATGCTGTCACACCTACTGTGACACATAACCTTTATATATCATCTTTCTGTTGTTCACCCTTTTGTCGAGACAACTGACGGGAAACACGCCTTGGCTTTAGTTTATGCCCAAATGCCCAGTGTATTCAGCCGATCGTGAATGATGGGCCATTACAAGAGTGATTAGCAACAGCAAATTCAATTAATCTTGACAAATCTCTGCTGAAGCAGAACTGAAAAGAGTGATGCACCCCCTCTCCTGGTAATTAAAAGAAGCCAAGGTGAGTGGCGTGCAGTGCAACTGTGTTTCATTCCAGGATAAACAGTTCCAAGGCTGAGTCTGAATCTGTCAGCTTATATTAGGTCTGTCAGACAAGCACAAATATTTAGAGCAGCTGCGGCGTGAGCGGCACGTGCACATGGGTGCGCGGGCTCTTGTTTCCGTTTCTAAGGTGGGTTTTCGGCGAGTCTGCTGTGACTGTGTATCTCCAGGACAGGAAAGTGGCAGAGGACCGAGGTAATTGGCTCTTCTTTGTCACCTCATACAGGTGAGACTTTTCATCAGCTTCCAATTTTATAAGCTGGGCTATACTTTAAATGCAATAAACAAAGGTTTTTGTCCTGTAATACTGAGAGGGAAAATGCAAGTCAGCAGCTATTTAATCATCCCGCTGATTGGTTCATGCAGAAAGAACAAGCTCTCTTGTGCAGTCAGACAGAAAAGGACAAGGTTAGAATGCAGAAGAAGGAAGCAGGGCTCTTAAAAAAATGGCACTGTGACCCCCGGTGGACAATACAATCAAGGACACAGCTACAGCCCAAGACTAGGAAAGATTTATTAAGCAAAAATATGTTACTGTACCGGGGCAGTGTGACCTCAGCTGAGATTGACCGCAAGACATGATAACAGAGCCAAGAAGAGACTGGAGGAGAATTCTTCTTGCCACTTAGAAGGTTGTTAGGGAAGGGCTCACACTAAATAATCCACAGTGCCACAAAACCCAACCTAATTTCTTATCTATGATTGTGGCTTCAACCTTACTCCACAAAGTCCCTTGCAAGGTAATGTGAGGACACGAAACCACTGAGCAGAAGCAGGGCGGGAGTGAGAGAGGCGCTTTGAAGTCCCTGAGTTTTCAGTGTGTCTCCATCAGAGGTGAGTGGCTCAGTGTTTGAATATTCACTGCACCTGAAAAAGAAAAGAAACAAGAGAGACAGCAGAGAGAGACACAGCAGAGTGGACGGATGCTGTAGAACAATGTAAGTGGAAGAATAATGAGGGGAAAAGGGGGCGAAAATGCAGGACCTTGTAAAGCAGATAGGAAGAAACAGTGCAAACTGAGAAGGAGTGTTGAAAGGGATAGAGAATATATTGACTGGGTTGAAAAATAAGCCAAAAAAAAGAAGATGTGATAGAGAGAGATCTTTTAGATCAAAGATAGAGAGGGAGGAGAAGTGAGAGAAAAGGTTAGGAGCCTGGTGTGGACTCAGTCCAGTGACTCGTGACGTCTGCATCTAAGGAAAAAAACAGAGAGAATTACCCCCATCCACACCCAAATAGACCACAGATGTCCCCCAGTTGCCCCACTAAAATCACATTTGCACCTCCCACCCTGTTTTTGCAATCCAATTCTGCCTCTTCCTGGTGAACAGGAGCACCACTGCCCCTCCCCTGAAAATAAGTGCCCCTGCATCAGGAGGGGATCAATGCTGAGAGAAATATATACATGGGAGGGAAAAGGGAGACTGAGAGAGAACATTTTCACATGGGTGAGGATCAACACATCACCTTATAATCCATGCTGTGTGAGTCTGCCGTTGTTGGCGCTCATTCTCTCCACGCACCTCTGAGCACCGGCATGAGGAAGTCAGCCGTAACTATGGGGACATTAAAATGTGTGGCACGCCAGATCGCATGGTCTAAAATTACCCCCTCTGCTCTTAACATTCCTGTTGTGAAGTGAGCAGCACAGCCTCACCTGCCTCCCAGTCTCACTGCACCCAATTTCAATTCTTATGCGGGAAATCAAAGGGACAGCAAAGGTGTTTGGCAGCAGATAAAGGCAGTTTTATGCCTCCGGGTCAATCTGTGTGTGATCACCAGGCGGTGTGTCTTACACTAGAGTAATCACCAATGAGAGTTGACCACGCGTTTGCAGTGGGTGTGTGAAGTCCTTATCAGACCTTGCATTTGTGGAGCACCTTCTCCCATGTGAAAATCCCTCTCAGTTTACTTGTGCGTCGCTCTGTCAATGAAGGAAAAAAGGTTTAGCTCTCCTCGCGAGTGTGTGTGTGTGTGCTGTGGAAGTGTCAAAGGAGAGAACAGGAGGAGAGAGACAGAGTGCAGCTGAGGGTGACTGTCTGTCTTTGGGCTGCCTTTATTGAAAGAAGCCAGAGACAGCAGGTGTGCGCGAGTGAGTGTGTGTGGACATCATTTGTTGCTTTTTGGGACGTGAAAGATGAGGCAGGAGTTTCAAGTGGGAGGTAAAGGGAGGAAAAGGAGGGACAGTGAATGGGTTGAGGGAGGGCAGGAAGATGTAAAGGGATAGACTTGATTTTAGTACTCACTGTAAGGGACACACTCATACTGGATTTCCAAGTACTTGTAGGTCCCTGGGCAGGGGTCTGGGAACACGTCTGACCCTGCTACCACCACACACTGAGTGCGGTTGTTACACCTGCAAGGGGAGACAGACAGGAAAAGAGGGGAGAAAATAGAATGAAAATAAGGAAGGAAGTGATGAAACAAGTGTCATTGAAAGAAGACTAAAGAGGAGTGGGTACCAAAAAAAAACATCTTCAGGCCCTGAAAGACGGAGGGAACGGTAGGGAAGGGAGTAATTTCACACTAGACTAGATCATGTGACAGCTGCATCCGAGGGGAGGTGGGAAACAGACAGGGAGGGTCGGAGGGAAGGAGGGGGGAAAAGGAGGGGAAAAAGGAGTGGAGCGAAGGATAGAGAGGAGTGGGAAGGGAGGGGAGAAAAAAAAAGATGGTGACTGACGTAAGAGGCCCGTCTCTTGGGGGATTGTGAGTGGGAGCAATTAGAGGTGAGAGAACAGGGAAGGACGAGGGGGGCAAGGCAAATATTCCACTCCGGTACGCTGCACACGAGGAAAACATTCATATGCACATAATACCTTTGACTAAACCAAAGGACTCCATGCCTTCTCACGTTCGCACACCGACTCTCACACATACTGAAAAGACAACACACGTCCACACACACGCCCTCTCCTATTCCCGTCACACAATCCTTCTCCGTCCGGCTTCCTGTGCTATTCCCTCCCTTATATCTCAAATCTCTGCTGTGCTCACTCTATCATCTCATCATTTCTGGCAGTCTTCCTCCTTTCCTCTTAGCCTTCCCCCCCTTTCCTTCCCCCCCCCCCCATCCCCTTCTTTCCCATGTTTCTCCCCAAGCTAGCACCCTCACACTGTGCCTCCATTACATGCGTGATGGATTGCTGAGAGAGGGCTTCCATTGATCTGAACTCAGAGGAAGCAGATGCTGCGTGCAAACACAGAGAGCAGCTGAAGGAAGCTGAACAAATACTCTCGCAGCAATCCAAAACATATACATACAGTATACTCACACATCCCTTATTGCACGTACACATGCACAGTGCACACTCTTATACACAGAAAAGTAATGATGTTTTGCATCAAACAAGAATGCTGACACCGGTGTTCCACACAAGGTGTCAAAACTTCAATTGGAAAAGCAGGAAATTCA